GTTTGAGGCAAGATGGTGGCAGAGGAGGTGGCAGAGGTGGGTGGCTGAGGACTTTGAGCAGGATTCATGCCTGCAGGAGTCCCTGAAGACACTTCCTCATTCTTTGAGACTCAGCATGGACTCTCACTGCAGATCCCACATTTTTGATATTTCTTTTTTTTTTTTTTTTTTTTGAGACGGAGTCTTGCTCTCTCACCCAGGCTAGAGTGCATTGAGCGATCTCAGTTCACGGCAACTGCCACCTCTGCCTCCCGGGTTCAAGCGATTCTCCTGCCTCAGCCTCCCAAGTAGCTGGGATTACAGGCATGAACCACCATGCCTGGCTAATTTTTGTATTTTTTGGTAGAGACGGGGTTTGACCATCTTGGCCAGGCTAGTCTCAAACTTCTGATGTCATGATCTACCTGCCTTGGCCTCCCAAAGTACTGGGATTATCACCTGGCCAATATTTCTAATATATAGTACTTGGCATGGAAAATGCTACTGAATATGTGAGTTATTGAATTCATAAACTCACATCCCCCAACCTCACTGTGGTTTGATAGGAAAAGAGCGGGACTCTGTCTGGAACTCCTGCTCTGTTCAGCAGTGCCAGGAACAGGCAATACTCACACCTCTCAAGCACCACTTAGAAAAGGAGCACTTCCTGGACATGAACCTGTGCAGGGATACAGAGCCCTGTGCATAGAAGGACCCAAGTTTGCTATCATGCTCTGCTGTTGCCATCTGGAAACTCATAATCTTACCTTTGAACTTGTGTTTTGCAGGTGAAATCCAATAGGACAATGAGCACGTCAGGAGCAGAGATGAGCACAGCATGTTCCTTGTAGCCCAATTTGAATAAAGAGTGTTTGTGGTGCCCCATTGCATAGAGGGAGATGTGTGTGCATAGAATTCCAGAGGCCCACTATCCATGGAGCACAGTAAGACCCAATGGGAATATAAGGTAAGCACATTCCATCTATGTCAGAGAAAGTAGAGTGCTGACAGCTCGGAAGGTCCTACTTTCCTTTGGAACCAGAACTTGGTTCAAACACAGAAAGAATATCATGGTGTATTCATCCATTTTCATGCTGCTGCTAAAGACATACCCAAGACTGGGCAATTTACAAAAGAAAGAGGTTTAATGAACTTACAGTTCCACATGGCTGGGGAGGCCTCACAATCATGGTGGAAGGCAAGGAGGAGCAAGTCACACCTAACATGGATTGCGACAGGCAAAGAGAGAGCTTGTGCAGGGAAACTCCTGTTTTTAAAACCATCAGATCCAGATCTCATAAGACTTAATCACTATCACTACAACAGCACAGGAAAGACTGCCCCCATGATTCAATTACCTCCCACCAAGTTCCTCCCAGAGCACATGGAAATTCAAGATGAGATTTGGGTGGGGACACAGCCAAACCATATCACATGGTGTCTGAGAAACACGAGCAACCAAGGAAACGTAGCAGACGCTTTCTTCCCCATGCTACTTGTATTACCATACATGTGCTAGCCAACCACTTACTCTGAAAATGATGGGCTAGAAGGAAGAAGAAGGAGAGGGCAGCCTATGGCTCCTTTTCCCTCAGTCCTTCGCTCCTGGTTATACTGAAGATAGAGAGTGTTGGTAGAACAGGCATAGAGCAGGAAGTGAAATGAAAACAATGAAGTTTGTTTTGGGCAGTTTCCACAGTTCTGGCAAGCATGAGATGCATATGCATGTGTGAACTACAAATATTGTTTGCTTGTGTAGAATTGTGATTCCAGTGATTCAGTATCCCAGTAAATGCTCTTCTATTTGTATTTAAAACAATCATTTCATAATACAAAGATGAATGGTACACATGTTCATAATTAAATGTTTTTACTTCTTGTTTTACATTAACAATTAATATTCCAATTTTTCCTTACTCAGAATGACATTAAAGAGCAAACAAAAAACACCATAACAGGTCAAAAAAGAGACTGTGGAAGAAAGGAAGAAGCTTTTAGTACCCCTCCACAGTACTTTCTTTGGTATTTTAGTACCTCCGCGGTACTTTCTTTGGTATTTTAGTAACCTCTGTGGTACTTTCTTTGGTATTTTAGTACCCTCCCGCCATGGTACTTTCTTTGGTATTTTAGTACCCTCCGTGGTAGTTTCTTCTTGCCTTTGAATGAGGGGCCCACAGTTTGATTTTGCACTGGACCCACAGATTCGGCTGGAAGCTGCAGTTGCCAATGCCTGGTGTGGGGCAATGATAAAGGTGAGGATAGTGAGGGGTCTAGCTTCCATTCACAGCATCAATGCTTTGCATAAGTGAAACAGCAGGCTCAGGACAGTCAACTGCCAGCTGAGAACAACTGAACACCAGAAGGTTTAGGGCAGCTTTGAAAGAGGTCTCACATCCTGGAGCCACGGGGCAGTCTGCGCAGAAGGCTGGAAGGAGACAAGGGACAGCAATGGGCGGCCCAGGTCAGAATCAGAGCCCACGTGGGACAGTGGGACAGTGGGACTTGGGGTCCAAGATGGGGAGATTTGGATAGACAAGCCAGAGAAATGAAAACCCCACCCCACCCCGCCCTGCATTTTCCAGATGGTAAAGCAGGGCTGAGGGCAGAAAAGCTATTCTGTTTTCTCCTTACTCCTACCAGGAGAAAACAGAACAGCTGCCTCTCACCTGGAGGAAGCCAACAAGGGAGAATCTGTTCCACATCCCTCTCCTCGCTTCTGGCATCCCCAGCAACCACTCTTCTTGACCTGCAGACATGTCCCTCCAATCTCACTCCACCGTCACACAATGTCCTTCCACATCTGTGCCCTTCATGTGGCATTCTTCTCTTATAAGGACATCAGCCATACTGGACTAAAGGCCCATCCTACTCGCGTGTGACCTCATCTGAACTTATATCTTAATTATATCTGCAAAACCCCTATTTCCAGCTTAGGTCATGCTCTCAGGTACTGAAGATGAGGACTTGAGTGTACCTTTGGGAGGATACGATTCAAACCACAACCCCGAGTCAGCCGCCATCAGAGCAACACGGGGCCCTGGATCATTGGGGACAGGATGGATGTGAGCTGGAGAGGGCACTGGCATGGACGCCTCAGGACTCGGGATTGTGATCTGGCAAGGAGACACAGAGCCGGTCCTAATCATGTACTGACATGACTCCTTGGAGCTGGAGCATGGTAATGGCCTATAGTAAAAGAAGTGGAAATTCTAGAAAGCGTCATAATGAGGAAAGGATCAGGAAGCTCTCGGGGGAAGGAACTTGTTTTGGTCGGCTCAGGCTGCCTTACCAAAATATCCATACACTGGGCAGCTTACACACCAGAAATTCATGGCAGCACTGGAGGCTGACATGAGGGTGCCAGCATACCCAGGTCCTGGTGAGGATGCTCTTTGGTCCTCACATGACAGGGAGTTCTGGTGTCTCTTTGTCTTCCTGTAAGGGCACCAATTCCATCGTGAGGGCCCCACCCTAATGACCTCATCACCAAAGCCTACCTTTCCTATTGGCTGCATCACCAAATGCCATCACACTGGAGGTCAGGGCTTCAACATATGAATTTGTGGGGGAGCACAGTTTGGCACATAGCAGAATCCTAGAATAAATTTGCTACATGAGAGCAGAGGACCCTCCCTGCATCTCATCTTATTAAGGTGAAGTAGGCACAGTTGTCTCCGGGTGATTTGTCTGTAGCTGGGATTGATGATGGGAGCTGCTGTCACAAAACCAAGCTCCCTGCTGCCAAGAGAAATGATGGGATTCCAAATTCAAGAACTGTCTAGGATCTGATGTATTGGTAGCCCATCTTGATAGGACCCAATGCTGTTCTGGGTTCACTTTTACACTTCTAAGACCTTTGTTAAAAATGAATCACCGGGCACAGTGGCTCATGCCTATAATCCCAGCACTTTGGAGGCCAAGGTAGGTGTATCACGAGGTCAGGAAATCAAGACCATCCTGGCCAACATAGTGAAACCCCATCTCTAATAAAATACAAAAAATTAGCTGGGTGTAGTGGCCTGCGCCTGCAGTCCCAGCTACTCAGGAAGCTGAGGCAGGAGAATTGCTTGAATCCAGAGGTAGAGGTTGCAGTGAGCCAAGATTGTGTCACTGTACTCCAGCCCGGTGACAGAGCCAGACTCTGTCTCAAAAAAAAAAAAAAAAAAAGAATCATTTGGCTGGGCACATTGGCTCACTCCTGTAATCCCAGCACATTGGGAGGATGAGGTAGGCAGATCTCCCGAACCCAGAAGTTCAAGACCAGTCTGGGAAACATGGTGAAACCTAGTTTCTACCAAAAAAATAAATTGGCCAGGCATGGTGGCGTGCACTTGTAGTCTCAGCTACAATGGCTGAAGTTCGAGGATCACCCGAGCCCTGGGAGGTCAAGGGTGCATTGAGCCATGACTGTGCCACTGCACTAATTGTCTTAAGAAAGAAATGAATCATGGCCTGGGCGCGGTGGCTCAAGCCTGTAATCCCAGCACTTTGGGAGGCCGAGGCGGGTGGATCACGAGGTCGAGAGATCGAGACCATCCTGGTCAACATGGTGAAACCCCGTCTCTACTAAAAATACAAAAAATTAGCTGGGCGTGGTGGCACGTGCCTGTAATCCCAGCTACTCAGGAGGCTGAGGCAGGAGAATTGCCTGAACCCAGGAGGCGGAGGTTGCGGTGAGCCGAGATTGCGCCATTGCACTCCAGCCTGGGTAACAAGAGCGAAACTCCATCTCAAAAAAAAAAAAGAAATGAATCATTTGATCTGACATTGTCAAGAATAATAACAGTGGCTCACACATCACCACCTAGCTAGTTTTCATCCTGCATTGAGAAGTCATAGTGAAATTGACACATTTTTTCCTTGCTTAGTAAAATAGAAAATAAGGGTGTGTCTTACAATCAATGGATTTTAGAGTCAATGAAATAAAGGAAATGTGTTAACAACTATTATTTAAGGCAGGAAGTGGTAAAGATGTGTTGTTAAAATTTGCATTATCAGATCAATGAAATTAAAATTGAGAATGGCACCACTTATGAAAACATTGTTATTCATTCATTCCACAAACATAGGGGCTTTCCATGCGCAGGGCACAATGCTAGACACTGAGGCCTCTGCCCTCCAGGCATTGACAGGCTGGCCCTTCAAGCCCACCTGGACTCTCCCTTTCTTTGGGATGTTGTCCTTGCCTTCAGTCCATCCAGTACTTCTTTTCAGAGCTTCAGAATGGAAGCACACGAGAATCACTATATTTCGCCACTGATCATGGGAACCTGGAGTTGAATACCATTACTGTATCACAAACAAGATCAATCACGGACAAGGTAAGAAGGGGGAGAGGAAATTTACAATTCCTCTTAAATAGTTCCTTATTTACAGAGGTTGTAAGTGATTATAATAAATCGCAGAGCTTCCAATAAAAACCAACTCAAACTACAAACGTGAGAGTCCAGGGGGCAGCGCCAGAGCACCTCACTTGCCCGAGGGCCACTCTCCAGAGCTTGCTACCATCTGCTCGTGTGCCCCCCAGAGCGAGAGCAATGGTAGAGACAGCACCGGCCTCTAGTCCTTGGAAGCACACACGCATTCGTATCAAGTACTGAGGGTTGAGTGGGGAGGAGGCGGGGACGGGGATTATCTGACAGCCGAGGATCTACGGGATCCTGGGGGAGTCCGGGTCACAGCTGGAGCCCAGTTGTGGCTGAGATCTCCAGTAGCTGAGGGGGAACTCAATGTATCAAAATGGAAGGGCCACCATAAGGGCCCGCCTGAAAAGCCCAAGTGATTGGCCTAATCTTCAGATGGTGGCGGGCCGCCAGGATCTCAGTGGGACTTGTGAGCTGCCGGCAGGCCACGTCCAGGTTTCCTTCCTCCCTTCTGCTCAACCTTTAGGTGCTTCTGCACATTTACTGCAGCCCATGCTGCCTGCTAGTGTGGATGTGTTCCTTGCCAGGTGCCACCATTGATGCCAGATACCCCTCCCAGCCCCACAGCTAGGATCCAGGCCTCAGTCTCCTTTGTATCCCAGTGGCTGGCACAGGCTGGATCCTCAGAAAGCCCCTTTGCCTGCCTGCTCCAACAATGGCTTGAAGACAAATCTTACACCACTGGAGAGTGCCCTGTGGGGGCCAAGATGGCTGGTCCTGAGCACTTCTGAGACACAGCACTTCTGAGACACATGGCCCACAGAGCTGCCTTTCCAGGTAATGAGGGGCAAAGGAGAAGCAGAAGTCAGGGAAAGTTTCCCTGAAATCTTACAACTCACCAAGCTCAAGATTTGAATCTGAGGGACGCTTGGGCTCAGCCTATTAAACAGGAGGCTGGGTCTGGCCGGGACTCTGTCCAGGGCCTCCCGCCACCACTGCCCACCCTAGGAAGCACTTAGGATCTGCACAATCAGCATTCAGGAAACCAAGGGCTGTGGCTAAGGCTAAGCACCTTGGATGTCCCTTCAAAGCACTGAGTAATGACACCTCCTAACTGGGAACTTCGTCTCTGAAAATCACTCACCTAATAGAACAAGGCAAAGCCGGCCACTCCTGCCCATCCCCGCTCCCAACACAGGCCTTCTGCTCAGTGAGGCTCAAGTGTTTGGGACTGGCCTCTACCCCAGCAGCATCCCTGCCTCCCTGCAGTGAGCAGCCTCGTGGGCAACCACAGAGCCTGGGAGAATGGCCCTCCCCTGGGAGGCCAAGACCACGGTGCAGAATACTGTGACCTGGCCAAGAAGTGCCCTCCAGGAGAGGCTCCTTGGATTGAAGGGGCATCAACTGCCCGTGCCCTCACAGCTCCTTTAGGGAGCTCTCTGGGTGCTACCCACATTCTCCATCTCCACATGAGAAACAGGACTGTGCAAGGGACAACCCCCACACACACACCTTCCTGATCACCACCACTTTGCCACCTGTCCCCTTGAGGCCCAGCTCTGTCCCGGTGCCCTCAAATCTGAGTGCAGCAGAAGGATCGCTAGGGGCGTTCCCCTACACTGCACCCGAGGAGGCCTGTGGGGAGTTCGTGGGTCAGGGATTCCCTCTCACAAACCTGGCAAGATGGAGAGGCCTGATCAGCATGGCTGCCCTGGTGACACACAAGCCAGGAGGGACAGGTGACGCTGTTGCCACACTGGCCGCAAGGACAGCGCTTCTCCTGCGAGTAGCCGCACAGGTGGGGCAGGAAGCTGGGCTTCTGCGTGAATCGCTGGGTGCACTGGAAGGCGCGCTCCCCCGAAAACACGCTCTGGTGCACAGTCAGGTTGGCCAGACGCCTGAAGTGCTTGTCGCACTGCGCTCACTGGAAGGGCTTCTCACTGGTACGCATGTGCGGGTGCTCCAACAGCGTGGACAGGCGGCCGAAGCACTTGGCACACTCAGCACACTCGCAGGGCTTCTCCGCGGTGTGCCTGCGGTAGTGGGTGAGCATGACCTGGTGGACGAAGGTCTTGGCACTTTGGGGGCAGGTTTAGGCGCACTCGGCCACGTGCACCTGGTGCTGGCTGGCGAGGGTGGCTGGCTGGGTGAAGCTCTTGGGACACTGATCACCGGCAAAAGGCCGCTGGCCATGATGCGGGTTCAGGTGCTGTACACTGAGCTCCTTCCACACGGGGCGCAGAGTGGGCACTGCTCCGTGCCCCTAGCAGCTGGCTCAGCCTGGCTCGGGGTTCCTGGAGGGAGGGAGGTTACCTCTCGCTCCCTGGGGTCAGGAAGCAGACTCCCACAGGTGATCCCCCCGGAAGCCCTCCTTGCCAGGCCCCCCTCTAGCAGCCCAGGCTGGTTCGCTGTCCTGGGACCCTCCCTCCAGACTCCTCTTTGCTGCCCAGCCAGGTCTCTGCAGGGAAGGGACACAGAGGGGTACAACGAGTAAGGCGTCCCTGTCACAGGCTCTGCAGTTGGGCCACCCACCCATTGCCCTCCTGGAGTCTGAAGCTGGGCTCAGGCATCACTAAAGGCCCTGCTCCCGCCTACCCTCCTTCAGCTCCCATCATCTGCCGGTTCCACCCAGTGGCTGTTCCACCTAAGGCCACCCAACACCCCTCTCCCCTTCATCCACCTCTGAGCCTCAGCCCAAGGGTCCTCTCTACCCAGAATGCCTCTGGCCTCCTCAATGCCTCTCACCCAGACTCTAAGCCCCTCTCAAGTCCCCCCCTCTCTCACAGAGCCCCCCAAGACCAGTGTGGTGACATTTTCCCCCGGCAGCACCTTCATCTGGGCCGCCCGTGGCCACCGAGACACCCCTTCCACCACAGATGAAAGAACACCTGCAGCTGTGTGCACATCGTAAGCTTTTTCTTAGGATACTGGCCATCTTTTGGGTCAGATTCTCAAAGGGTTCTCTGGCTGCAGACACAGCAGTGCTCCGCCCCACTGTTTACTGTGTCTGTATTCGTCTCCTCTCTCCCGAGGGGAAGCTGTGTCTCACGCATCAATGAGCCCCTGCAGCGTCCAGCACCATGCTGCCTACAGACGAGTTCATGAAATGAACAGGAAACAGCTTCAGGAATAAAAGAATGCATGCTTTCATGCCACTGCATGGGAGGACACCGCGCAGCCAGCACACAAGATTCTGCAGACACAGCCACGGCAGGGAGGCTGCACACTGCCTTCCTTCAGGAGCCTCTAGCAGAAGAAAGCCCTTTTCGAGGTGCTGTGAGGCCCCCCAGCGGGTGCCACATCTCCTAAGGCTCAGGGATGCAGGTCTGGGGAGACAGGCCCAGCGCGCCCTACCTGAGCAGACGTGTGTCTCAGTGGTCTCCTGCGCGCCCTGCTGACTCCTCCCACTTCCTCTCATCTGATCCAGGACAGAAATCCTGGGGGTGTTTCCAGCTGGCCTGCGTCTAAGGGAAAGAAGAAGAGGCTCTGAGGACATCAGGTGTCACGGGCCATCTTTCCTCTCACAGTCTCAGCTGGGACCAGACACCAAAGGGACTCCCAACAGAACTGTAGGTCCCAGCAAAGGCACAACACATCCTGGGGACGTGTGACATGGCAGCGAGTCAAGCTAGGGGAGCTTGGCAAGTGAAGATGGGCTATGAGTTGTGACAGGGACGGCTAGCCACCTTCCAGTGCCATCCACTCCCCTTCAACACTCACAGAGCACTTGGTGTCCTGCTGGGCATGTGGCCGTCCAGAGTCCAGACCATGTTTCTGGGCCTCCCTGGAAGTAGATGCGCCCCATGGCTGGTCTGACTAATGGATGTGAGGGGCGGCTCCTCCAGCTACAGGACCTTCAACAGTGGGTTCGGCCTCTCTGTGCCTCAGTTTCTTCATCTATGACATGAGGAAACTGAGAGTTGGGGGAATAAGCTTAGATGGGTCAATGTTTATAAAGTGCACAGGAAGCGCTAAATGTGTGTTTACTAGACAAGGAACCAGTGTGTCCGGTGAAAGGGAAAGGCGTCACCTCAAAGAAAAGGGGAAAGGGCACCCCCCTCCCAGCCCATCCCCTTGCTTCCTTCTGCACGGCCGCGGGCTTGGTCATGGGCCACCTCGAACCATGGTAACCAGACCTGGCTCTCCAGGAAAGGTGGAGCGACAGGCTGGAAGGAGCCTGGGCCTGTGAGCTGCCAAAAGAGCCCTGTCAGGGGAGAGGCTTTTAGCCCTGTCAGGAGAGAGGCCAACCCTTGCCGTGTGAAAGCTGTGGGGTTCCGGTTTTGCTGTTTCGTTTTCTTCCGTCTCTGTTACAGCAGCCAAGCACAGACCCTACAGTGCCCTCAGTTGGGTAACCTTCAACAGCTGGTCCACCTCACCCATCTGTGCCCACCTCTAAGGCCTATCTTAAAATCAGGGAATAATTACTGCTCCTCTCCCTGCTCCAGGCTTGACATGGGTAGGCACAGCTTTTGTTAAGTGAATGAATGAATGGAGGACATTCCAAGCTTCCCGTATCTCACTGCTGTCCAGTCACTCAGAGGTGCCAGCTTTTACGGCTGGGGCACCCGCTCACTTCTTTCTGTCGTACACGAGGCACTTCTGACACAGTCACTCTGAGGACACCAGCCCAACCTGGCTGCCACACACCAGGCTGGCTCCATGATTAATTAGGACCTCCCTGGAAACCGCTTCAGAGAGAAAGTGGATCAAATCGTACCAACACAAAAGGATCCTTAAGACATATTGTTGAGCGAAAACAGCAAGCTGCAGAAGATATGTAGAGTACATCTGTGTGTTCTTAACCCCTGGATTTTTCTGCAGTGCACACAAGTAGGTAAATGCATGACGAAAATAGCCTGAAAGGTTACGCAGCAAAATGGTAATAGTGGCAACCCTGGGGGGAGCCTAGGGTTGGGCGGGTGGCCAGCAGAGAGCCCTTTAGCTTTGCCCATGATCCCCACATTGTTTAGTGAGAATGTATTCGTGTAATAATCCATTTGCATAATCAAGACATACACACTTTCAATGGTTAGGGGCTGGTCAGTTTCTGTTCAGAGGGCTCTCCGAGCCTTGATTCTCAAACTAATGGCACCAGAATCACGGGAGGAAAGTGTTGAAAGTGCAGTGCCCAGACCCTGCCCGTACCTCCTGAATGAGCACCCCGTTGACACTGCTTCTAGAATTCTGGCAGGAAGAGCGCACCTGTGGAAATATCCGATAGATAAAGCAGTCCTGCGCTCACACTGACTGGGGCCTGCAGGTTTTCAGCAAGGGTTTAGAAGCAGCTTCTAGGAGTGAGGCCCAGTCCTGAGGGTAAACAAAGTTCTCTCCTGGAGAAATCTGGAAAAGCTGACAGAGTGGAATACGGGAAGTAACTGCTGGAACAGCAAGGACTCCACGCTGAGCAGGCCTCTTTCCTCCACTCCCACGCTGCCTCCAGCGGCCTTCAGGTGTCAGCCGAGCCTCAGCAGAGCCATGCCTGGGGCTCGTTCCCAGGCCCCGCCTGCTGCTCTGCATTCCCTTAGGAGCTGCTCAGCCCTGGGGACTGTGGCACCGGCCACAGCCTCTGAACGTGCCTCGGTCCTGCTCACACCTGCTGTGGGAGTGGGGGACAGCCCAGGAGCCGGGGTGGCTGCGGTGCCTGGGCCCAGCTCCCCTCCCTGCACCACAGGGGAGGACGTGCTGGCCAGGCTGCTGTAGTAATAGTGCTCAGTGACACAAGAGCCATGCTGTACACAGCTGGCCTCTCGTCTTGCTCAGGGCTCCCCGGCGCGGCGCGGGCTTGTCACCTGCCTCCCGCCACTCCCCCACCCTTTACTCCACCCTGCTCTTTCTATGGTGCCCCCACCCCCTGCAGGTGCCTGGAAGTGCCACCTTTAGCTTTGGACCTACATGCCAGCCACTCAGTGACGTTGTCAACCCCCACCGTCTTCCCACTCTGGGCTCACTGTGACTCAATTTACCTACTCAAAGAGACTGCTTCACTGGGGAGCCTTTCTCCCCAAATCTAAGAATCTAGAAAGCAAGGAGCAGTTTCTTGGCATGACTCACTGTGTTCTGAGCAACAGCTCCAGGGCTCCTGTCCTTCAGCTAGAAGGGCCCCACTGTTCCCCATGTTATATGTTTCTTGTTGTCATTGGAATAAAGGGCTCTCACCTTTAAAAAAAAAAACTACATTCTGATCCAATGCTATTATTTGAAAAATAGAGAAAACTGAGCCCCTATTCTGGTTCACTGTTCATTTAATAATTACTTATTGTTTATAATCCCAGTACATGCCAGGCACTGGGTAAGGTGCGGAGGAGGGGGATATCACAGCAAGACTCAGTCCTTCACCCAAGGAGGATGAAGCCTGGAGAGGAAGCAGGGATCGGGCTGCAGAGGGAGGACCCGCCGCAGGTACCCAGGGCTCTGGAGCAGACGCGGTGCCAGGAAGGTCTCCCAGAGGCCGCCAGCCCGCCCCTACTCCCAGAACCCTGCATGCACCACCACAGCCTGTCTCAGTCTCGGGTCCCTGGTGTCTGCTCTGCCCTCTGCTCTTCCCCTCAGGCCCCCAGGGTGGTCTCAGGCCAAGCGATGGCTCCAAAGGGACGTGGAGTGCGGAAAGTGGCCCAGACGCTCTCTGGGTGTCAGAACACCCAGGTCTGGCCCTGATCGCCAGCTGTGAGGCCCAGCAGTTCATTTCCCCCATCTCGGCCTCTGTTTCTTCACGGGGGCCTCCTGACACCAGATGCCCCCCCCAGATGCAGGTTGGGAGGCCCAAGCCCACCCACACACTGACAGACTCACCAGTGCCCAGGCTCCAGCCCCTCTCCGCGCTAGGCAGGCTACAGCTGCCTGCTGGTCTCCTCTCTCCACTGGGACCAGGAGCTCTGGCTTGGTGGTGGCCCGGCCTGTGGAAAGGAAACGGGCAGTGGCAGGGCTACCCTTGCAGGCCCGGAAAGGGAGGGTATTCTGTCAGGCTTGGAGCAGGACTCACTCCCTCTTCAAGGCCTGTGTTGAGGGGCGTGGAGAGTAGGGAGGGCAAGGCCTCTCAGTCCTCTTGGGCCAAAAGTGAGTGCCATGAGGCCAAGAGAAAGGGTTCCATCCACTGCCCACACAGACAAGTCACCTAGTCCAGACAGATCAGGAAACTGAGGCCCACGAGAGGGGCTGGCCATTCACAGCAGTCAGAGCTCAGGCTTCCTGCTGCCCTTCCTTCCACATGCTTCCCCTTCCTGCCTGAGGTTGAGCAGCCTCCTCACCCTGCCTCCCACAGCACGCAGGGACCCTCTTCTGAAACAGGAACCTCTGTGGCCAGGCAAAGAGAGGGAAGGCACTGTGTTCTGGGCCTCAGCCTCCCGACAGGGGGAGAAAGTGGACTAAAAGCCGACTATTCACCTTCCCAAAGCAGTGAGAACTGCAGTGTGTGCAGGAGAGCTTGGGAGTGGGGGTAGCTACAAAACCCAGGTCTGATCAAGTCTCACACGAACACACAAACCTGCCTGAAGGACTGAACTTCCTAGGGCTGGCCCCCATTTTCTGGACCTGGGGCACCCTTAAAATTCATCCTTCTTTGCTCAGCAGGAATCTCCTGAGAACTGTGTGCAGAGTGCGGCTTGGGGGTCCTCGGGATGCCGATGTAAACCAGGGAAGGCCCCCGCTCCCCAGAAGCAGACGGGCCGGCGAACCACAGTGTGCACACAGGAGCCGCCTCTGGCACCACCCAAAGGGCAGGACAGCGAGGAGCAGATTCTGGTTCATTTACTCCATGAAACCTGGGACAAGTCACATAACCTCTGCATTTCATAACATAAAACCTCCAAATGAGAATGACAGATACTTTTACCTGCCTGAAGACAGAGGGCTGAACAAATGATTTCCCCATGCTTCCTGCTCTCAGATCCAGGAGTCTATGTGACTGAATAAAGAGTGAAACCAAGGTGTGGATGCCCCCTGAGGCCAGCCTCTTACCCAGAGCCCAGAGTCTCACAGCTCCCCTTTACAACGTGTTTGCAGAGCTCCATCTGCAAGTCCTCCAGGCCACACCTCGCTGCACTGACAAACACCCGACCATGCCTTCGGGATCCAGAAGTTCCTGTTGCGCAGCAGGATCTCCACGTTCTCCAGCCGCCTCTGCAGCAGCCCGTACTCCTGCAGCAGCGTCCCCAGCACGGCCCACTTGCCCTCCAGCTGGTTCCCGAACTCCACGGCCAGCTTCTCGCAGTCGGCCAGCTTCTTCTCGGCTGTTCCCCGTGCGTCCCTCCAGGCTCTGTAGCCGGGCAGCCTGGGACTCATCTTCTTCTCCACGGCCTGAATAGCAGCCACGATGACCAGGAGGGAGATCTCTGCAGAATGGACCCGGGCCTCTCCTGGAGGTCAATCCACATATGCCAGTCCTGGAACCAGACACAAGTTTGCAAGTCGGCCACCAGAAGTAGAGTGGCCCAGAGCCATTCCCAGCTACAGGAAGGTCAGGATTCTCCGGAATGGGGGAGACATATTCTGAGTGCCAGAGAGCCTCACTGGTCAGACCCCCAAACTGACCCCACGTAATAATAGTCAAAGACAGCAGACACTGGACCCCCACAGAATCCCCATGAGAGGAATCCTGAGCCAAGACCCAGGGCCAATGGAAAATGACATAACAAACATTACCTTCATAAACGAACAGAGAGTGGATCCCAGCTTTACCACTTCACTGGCTCTATTAGCTCAGCCAATTTCTCAACCAACCAGGGAACAGAGCCAGCAGCAGAAGCCAAGAAGTGGTGAGAAGCCCAAGTCCAGAATGCCTGCCAGGGGCCCTGGGGTCCAATGCACACCCAGGCAGCAATCTGAGTCCTTGCCTTCTAGGACAAGCCCACACCCCTTAGTGGGCTCAGAGGGGAGAAAGGTCTGTTGTTCTGCCTTGGTGATCCCTAAGGCCCGTCCACCCTGACATCGACTGGTGTGACCTCCTGCCCTGCCTGACACCATGTCCGCACGATCCAGGTGCCTTGTTGACCAGCCCCAGGGTGGTCTCCACCTTCCTAGCTGCCAGGCGACAGGGGCCAGAGAAAGTTGAAAGCAGAAAAGGAAAGGAGGAACCATTATAAGGAATAGCCTGTTCACCAGAAGTGGAAAAGGTATTGTGTATTGCTGGAAATCAAATTTAAAATCCGGGAATCCCTCAGTATGCAACAGTTGAGGTAGGAAGGGAGCACGCCTGGAGATGGAACTCACCTAGAACTTGATCTGTAAAGGCTGTGTTGCCTCCTCTGGGCTCCACTTCACTGTATCGGGAAGAGGCCAGACTTAAGGATGGTGAGCCATGCTCTCAGGGGAAGGAAAGGGCCAGGTGTCTGATGTCTAGTACCTAGTATGTGTGCTACACTTTGCTGAGTACGTTTATTGGGGAGGTCTCTAAAAAACTCAGTCACACAGAATTGGATTAATCACAGTCTTTGGTTCATAAAACAAAGTCAGATCACTGGTCCACAGCCTTTACATTTGTTTTTAAGAATATAACATGTGCTAATGTCACACACCCTGAGTGCTCTTCCATCTCTTCAGTGCCTTTTATCCACACAGCCACCTTAGGAGTGAAGGAAGTTAGGATGCCCCCATCAGTGAGAAAATAGAATCTTAGAGAAGTAATGTGGCCTTCACAGATTAGGGGCAAACATCCTCACCTCCCTGCAATGCCCTGCCACAAATGTGCCACGCGGAAATGAGTCCAAAACCACTGCAAAGCTATTTCTACTAGGAGATGACCACTCTACTTCTAAAGACCTATGGAAATCTCAACAGCTGTTATGCAGGCCAGCGATGGCCTCGGTCAAGCCTGAGCCTGAAGCCCCTAACCATAAGTCCTCACAATGCAGATCCCCTCAGCAGCAGCCAGAAGGACTTGGCAGGGAATTCTGGCATCGGAAGCCTCCTCAGTGGGACCAGAGCTCAGGTCCAGAGCCCACCTCACAGCCAGGAGCGACTCTGGCTCCACCAGACTGCAGCAGACATCCCTCCCCAGGCCATGGCACTGATTTCAGCTTGGAGAGAGGATGGGAGCGGGATGGATCTTTCTCAGATGGTCGACTGGGTGTGTGTGTTGGGGCGAGGCGGCGGGGGACTGCCAAAGGGCAGGTCCAGAAAGAGGAACCTTGGAGTCTGGAATGAAGATGCCCTCAGTCCGCTGCCCCCACAGAACCGGGTCCAGCAGGATATCAGGGCTGGAGGGAACCTCCAAATCTTGTGTTTGGGGCCAATCGCCTTATTCCACAGGTTAGGAAACGGGGAAAGAGAAGGGAGTTTATCATTTGGCCCTAGGAGTCCTCCTCCTGCCACCCGGACTGAGCCCTCTCCAGTTCCAGGAGGTGACCGGGCTGGTGGGGAGTGGGATGTCCTCCTGGCGAATTCAGGACTCGGCTCTACGTCCCCACGCGTCCATGAGGGTCGCCCTTACTGGAGGCGCAGCTGCCTCGGCAATGGCCCTGTGCTGGCCGGCCTGGGCAGGGAGTTGCCGCTGCTGCTGAGCGTGCGCGGCCCCACCCGAGCCCAGTTGCGCAGTCCTCTCCACTGACAGCGTCAGCCCTGCTTTTCCTGCGCAGACCAAGCTTCCGGGACCACCGGGACTCGGGACACTGACAGAACGAGCCCAGGCAGGGGCTGTGCTCGAGGCCGAGAGGGTTACAACTGGGTAGCCCGCCCGCCTCCCGAAGTCAGATCCCCGTTTGACGGGGCTGGAGGCTCTGCCCCCGCTTGGCTGGGGCCAGCGACCCAGTGCGGACTTTCATCGGCCAGCCCTGGAGGCCCCGCCCTCACAGCCTGCGCCCGGCAGGTGTGAGCGCCCGGCCCCGGGCTGGTGCCCAACAGCCCGCAGGTGTCGCCAGCTGCCATTCACCACCGAGAGAGCAGAAACCAGATCATGCGCACGCAGTAGTTTATGCCAACAAGTTTATTGATCACCAGTTAGGGCAAGGGACTTACACCTTCACAGTTCTCTTGGGCGTTTAACGTCGTGGCCCACCCATTTATTTCACAAATGAGGAAGCTGAGGACCCCGCAGAGGGAGTTTGGGCCCCAAGTAAGTCTCCCACCGAGTCGGGGGCACCCTCAGCTCCTGCACCACAAACCTTCGGTTGACTCATTTCAATGTAAAGAACGTTATTTCAACACCTCTGAGTGCTAGGCAAACTCACAAGGGCTAGCTCAAAGTTGGGCACACTGATAGGGAAAAAAGGTCCTGAATTTGAAAGGAAGAATCAGCACCTTGCGATATTTAAGGAGGGGCACCTGGCATTAGAAAAACAAGCCTAGTTCAGCAAAAATTTGGGGTGTAAAAATTTTTTAAAAAGAACAAGCCTAGAAACTCAGCAAAATTCTTAGCCTGAGATCTCCCCAGAACACCTGAGACTCGCTCCTGCAGCTGCACTTGCACCACATCCTGTCTGAACTCCTGCTGACAGCCCGCCTCTGACTTGTGAGGCTCCCAGCAAGGGCTGGGGGACTCAGAGCAGACAAGCAGGATCCAAAGCACAGAAGGGCAGCGCCTCTTCCCAAACCCAAGAAAGCCTGGCTGAACTATCACTGACTTGTAAACTTACCCTCTTCCCAGAGATGACAGCAATGCTACCATCAGCCCCCAACTCTGCTCAAGACTTTGGGAGAAGAGTGAGGGTCAGAAGGGCAGGCAAGGAAGTGGTACAACCAGGGACCAAGGCCCCCGGAAGCAGCCCTAAAGGCTGGCCACTTCTCAGTGCCAGACAAGATGGTAAAGTACAAGGACAGTCGGGGTCCCATCACTCCAGCTTCAGTCACCCATACCCAGGCTGCTCTACAGGCAGCACCCACAGTGGTGTGATGAGAGGCACCAGAAGCTAGCTGACCTCAAGACGTCTCCATAAGACCTAATATTATTGCCTGAACTTCTACAGCCCGAGTCTCATGCTTTGGTAAAAATTTGTTCACCGACATACAAAGGACTCCTGGGGAACAGAGCCCCGTGGGAAGAGTCTTTCGCTGAACCCAGTGGAACTGCGACTCACTCCAGAAGATAAAGGTCCTTCCTGAGGGATTCTGACTGGTGGGAAAAGGCTGGAATGGAGTAGAAAGGAGGTCCTGAATTTGAAAGGAAGCACAAAGCTATGTTTCCTATTTGTCCCCGTGCCTCTTAATTTGACCCTGACAACTCAGGTATGACACTGGGGTTGTGACCCCCTTTGACAGAAGGGAATCATGAAACTAGCGGTGACTGAAGGATTCACCCAGATCTCCTAGGCCAAATCTGCCCCAGAGCCCAAAGTACTCAAAGGAGAACTCCCTTGAGAGGAGACAGCCCCTCCTTTAATGTGAAAAGCAGGCCTGGAGATCCAGGGTAAGGTGGGCCTCAGCCAGACCAGGGGTCTCCTCTGGGGAGGAGCTTCCTAGGCTCTCCCTGCACTGCCCCTCAGGGTGCCTTCTGGGGTCCAGTCAATACATCTTACACACCAGTGAACACTGAGCCCTTGGTGGGGGGGCCAGTGTCGCCCACTCCAGGCTTCAGTTTCCCCTCCCAGCTGACAACAAAAGTAAATCACAGATGTGACTATCCCATGGGGTAAGGACTAGGAATATTGGGAGTCACTCTGGCAGAGAAACACACACCTAGGGAGACACTGTGCTTCCAAGACAGCGGCCAAGACATCCCCATCAAAACCCACAGGCCGAGCCGCATGTGGTGGCTCACCCCTGTAATCCCAGCACTTCAGGAGGCCGAGGCAGGAGAATCGCTTGAACCCAGGAGGCAGAGTGCAGTTGCAGTGAACTGAGATTGCACCATTGCACTCCAGCCTGGGCAACAAGAGGGAAACTCCATTTCGGAAAAAAAAAAAAAAAAAAAAGAACCACAGGCTGGTGGAAGCAGCTCCTCTTCCAGCCCAGCAAGACCCACATGGAAAAGCCAAAAGCCGGCTCTTTCCAACTTCACAAAAGGCAAAGTTCCACTAGCAACTAAACACATTTACAAAAGCACTTAAAGTCTCTGTAACAAGGGAAAAAAGTTTCAAAATAGCAAAGTAGAAGAATTTCCTTTCTTCAGGCCATCCATCCACTCCACTGTTTCTCATGGTGACAGCAGGCAAGCAATCTCTGCACAAAACAAAAACCCCTGGTCCCCAATGTCTCTATCGCTCCCATGTTGGAAGGGCCATGATCTCTGGTCCTCTTGACTGTGGTACCTACCAGAGGCCCCATCAAAAATAAGGCATCCCTTAAGCTTTAAGGAATCTTTTACAAGTCAGGAATGCAGAAAAGGCAGCAAAGAGTGTAAACACGAAAGAGGAAACAAGGCACCGGGTCACACACACTGTCACCAAAAAGGCGAAAGGGCGGCTGCTTCCCATTTGAACGGGTAAAAACAACAAACCTCTCTCCAAACCATCCCAGGACGAGGAGGAACCTGCGTCCGGCACAATAGGCAGGACTGCCAGGGGTCCCCCGTGGGCTTCTGCCTGGTCGGCCCTCCTCTGTGCGGCTAGGCCTGGGCAGGGGCGGGCAAGTGTGGGCGCGCCTGGCCTCGGGCGTGGGTCTGCATGTGCACAGCCAGGTGGTGGTTTCGGTTGAAGGTCCGGCCACACTGGGGGCACTGGTAGGGCCGCTCGCCAGTGTGGATACGCTGGTGGCGGAAGAGGTCCGAGGGCCGGCGGAAGGTCTTGCCGCAGTAGGGGCAGGCGGGCCAGCCCTGGCCGCTGCCGGTGTGCAAGCGCTGGTGCAACAGCAGGCTCTTGCGCTGCTGGAAGAAGCGCAGGCACTCGCTACAGTGGTACATCTTGCTGGCCACAGGCCGCCGCACCGCCAATGCGCGAACCGCAGCCACAGAGTGGCAGCCCTCGGGGTCCTCTGGGAGCCAGCGAATGACAGGGCCAGGCACTACCACCTCCCCCGGCTCCAGCGTGTCTTGGCTTTCCCTGCAGCTGGTGGGCGAGCGGTCGGGGGCCTCCCGCCGCCCCTCCTCCACGTGGGTCCGCTGATGAATTGTCAGGTTGATCTTCAGGCGGAAGCTCTGCCCACAGTCAGGGCAGGGGAACGCCCGCTCCCGCCGGCGGGGGAGGACTCGGGACGTCTCCCCGCAGGGCCCCGGTGGCCGTAGCTCACCCGCCTGCATGGGCATGCCACGGGCCTGATGACGGCTGGGGCCCCCACGCCTGTTCCTGGGCCCTCGGGGGATTCTACACTTGGTCTGGCTCCGCGACACCCCTAGAAAGAGCCGCTCAGGTGTCATCTCGTCTTCGGACTGTGCCTCTGTCTTGATGGCCACACCACCACCTGGCAAAAGGAGTCTACGTTGGTTTCCAAGAGGACCGCACCACCTGGTTCCCCAGGTCACTCAGCCCAGTCCTGGCTTCCAGCCTCAGCCCAGGCACTGTCTCCCCACAGTGCTCACAGCACATTGCAGGGGTCCTGCTCACTGAGCCCCGCCACACAGGCACTGCCTCACACTGTCACTCAGGCCTGATTGTTGTCATCTGCCTCATTCCGGGAGGCCAAGCTAAGGACATGAGGGGAGCGGAGATCACGCTGCAAGGGCCAGGAGCCAGGGAGCCTGGAGGTCAGGATCACCTGGAGTGAGACACAGAAGCAGAGACCCTGGACACAGCAGAGAGGCTGGCAGGACCCCACCTCCAAGTGTTCTGATGACACTAGTTACCATCTGTGAAAGACAATGAGCCCCAGGGGCCCTGGCTGCCCCCAGACCACCCTAAGAGGCCTCTGTGGACTGGGGTGGTGAGTGCTGCGCCTGTGCTTAGCTGCTCATCCACATGACAAATCCGTATAGAGTGTCCGTAACCTGCCTGCACCACACTCTGGTGACAGAGAGGAGGCATTAGGACCCGAGACTCCTGCCTGGGTCTGTGTGGGTCTCACTCAACTCCCACGTTGGATGGAGCCAAGGAGCTGCCAAGACAGCAGTGACAAGGGCAACTGAGGCAGTGGCAAAAGACCTCGGACCCCAGGTCTCAGCACCCAACTCTCAGGGGTCCCTAATGTGAGGGAGAAAGGGTCCTGGCACAGCGCCCTCTCAGGAAAGCACAGACTCTATGCAGGGGAACACACACAGACTGTGGGCCTCAGGGGCTGGGAGCCTTGCCACGCCAAGACCATGTGAACAGCTTTTCCATCATTATCAGACCACGTGTGTAGGGTCTGATGCCTGGGTTTTCATGCAGTGCCTTTCCAGCCAAGCCAGACCAGACCACAATGGGGAAAGACCAGGAAGGACCCCAGACTGATCTGGGTCCCCACAGTCCCCAGGGAGACAGCAGCTGGAAAGGGAGGGAGGGAACCCTTAGGAGGAGGCCCCGTTACCAGGTCCCACCACCCAACCCCACTCCACTCCCAAAAGGCTCCCATGCTCCTGGGGGGCTCTGCTGCAGCCACAGGTGCCTCTGCCCTTCTTCCCTGGCCCTGGGAAGTTTTCAGAAAGACAGCGTTTACTGAGAAACAGCACCATGCTGGCACCACGCCAGGCACAGGACACACATTGTCCAGTGACCGTCGTAAGAACCCTGGGGAGGCCCAACACACCCCTCTATCCCCTCCCCTCACTCTGCGGTGTTTCCAGGCCCCCAAAACATTGAGGAACCCACCCTTCTATTGAGACTGTTTTCTCATGCTGAAAATACCAAAACCTGCCTTCTTGTAGGCCTGTCTCAAGGGCCCATTTCCCAAAAAGCCTGTCCAGCCTAGCGCAACCAGGCTCCCAGCCATCTCTCCCGTAACCGCGCTGCCTCGGGACTCTGTTCTTCCTGCCGCCTCGCCATCCTCACTCACCTGCTCCCAGCCCGGCAGGGGCCACTCTCGCCTCGGAGTCCCGCTGCTGCTTGGGGGCCTGCCCTTCTTTCAGCTCCTCCTGGGCAGGGCTGAGTGGGCTGGTGAGGTACTCCGGATATGGAGGGAGGCCTGGAGAACACAAATCAGTGACACTGAACACAATGCGGAGATCTCCTGCCCGGGTGACCGGGGACCCTCAAGGGAAGGCTAATGGCAGAGTCACTGGGATCCTGGGGTCTCAGTTCCAGCGCAGGGCATGATAATAAGGTGGACCCCACTGAATACCTGGCAGCTAGAGTCCAGTCTAAAGCCTCACGTCCCAGAGAAAGAAACTGCAGCGCAGGAATTCATGGTAATGATCGCCAGGCAGGCCATGACAGAATCTGGCATTTTAAGGCAGGAAAGAGAAACCCCATGCCTGTCCCTCCCCCTCCCCCTTCCCTCTCCTCTCCTCCCCCTCCCCCTTTCCCCTTCTTCCTTCCCCTCCCTCCCTTCCCCTCTCCCTTTCCCTCTCCCTTCCCCTCCCCCTCTAAGGGCATAAAGGAGACCCAAGGCTGGGCAGAAACACAACTGAAGATATGGCTTTAGGAACGTCGAAGCTTCTCCCTCACTATTTGTATTTCGAGATAACTCCATCCCTAGTCTACTCCTTAGGGCCCAAGTCCACACACACATTTACTCAGCGCCCACCTCCCAGAGGGATCGTAACCAATCCAGCTGTTAGCAAGACTTTCAAATGGTAAAGCCCCAAAATGAGCATGTGTCCTCTCACACAAGAAATGAAGCTTTTTTTTTTTTTTTTTTTTTTTTTGAGACAGTCTTACTCTGTCACCCAGACTGGAGTGCAATGGTGCGATCTCAGTGCACTGCAAACTCCGCCTCCTGGGTTCAGGCAATTCTCTGCCTCAGCCTCCCCAGTAGCTGGGATTACAGGCACCTGCCACCACGCCCAGCTAATTTTTGTATTTTTAGTAGAGACAGGGTTTCACCATCTTGATCAGGCTGGTCTTGAACTCCTGACCTCATGATTCACCCGCCTGGGCCTCCCAAACTGCTAAGATGACAGGTGTGAGTCACCACACCCAGCTGAAGCTCTGATTTTTTTTTAAGCAAAAAAAGATGATTAGAAAAAAGCTGATGACCAAAAGGCTACCAGTAAGAGAGCTAACAGAATGCTGCCATCAGAGATGAAATCAGCAAACGGCTCACATCGTGGGAGGGATGTGAAATCAGATGGGCATCAGATCAGAAGGGAACAGACAAGAAACCCAGAATCATGGAAAAAGTGACTCTACCTCCAAAACCAGGTTTGAATTTACCACGTTGGATCTTCCTGAATTTAAGCCTCCAGAGAACAATGCTTTGCCAGAGATTTAAAAAAAAAAAAAAAAAAAAAGCACGTGCTGTACTCCCCGCTACTTGGGAGGCTGAGGCAGGAGGATGGCTTGAACCCAGGAGTCTGAGGCTGCAGTGAGCCATGATCATGCCACTTACATTCCAACCTGGGCAACAGGGCCAGACCCTGTCTCAAATAAATAAATAAGTGAATAACCCAAGTGGGGTCCTCTCTACCTCACCTGAGGTTCTTTTCTTTTCTTTTTTTTTTTTTTGAGACGGAGTTTCGCGCTTGTTACCCAGGCTGGAGTGCAATGGCGCGATCTCGGCTCACCGCAACCTCTGCCTCCTGGGCTCAGGCAATTCTCCTGCCTCAGCCTCCTGAGTAGCTGGAATTACAGGCACGCACCACCATGCCCAGCTAATTTTTTGTATTTTTAGTAGAGACGGGGTTTCACCATGTTGACCAGGATGGTCTCGATCTCTTGACCTCGTGATCCACCTGCCTCGGCCTCCCAAAGTGCTGGGATTACAGGCGTGAGCCACCGCGCCCGGCCAACTGAGGTTCTTTTCTAAGAGAAGAGGTAAAACCAGCTAGAAGTTATCAAAGGGTGAAATAGTGGTGAAAAGTAATAATCCAGTTGAGTCTGTGCCTGCTAACACTGCTACCAATTCCCCTTTTCATATGGGGGAGTTATACACCAACAAGTTACACTGTCCCTAAAAATGGTACTTTCATGACAAACCTAAAGATGGTTGCTTCATCAGCAAATCCAAAAAATTTCAGTGGATCATCCTCTGAAGTTTAATCTTTGGATCCTTCCTACAACAAAGAGAAACATATCATCCATCCTCCTAAACAGCCCCAAGCATCACAAGGTAGTGACTAAGCAAGATGAAGCTCAAAAAAGAATGAGAAACAGAACGGTCTAAGTGAAAATATGAATCCTAACTGCTCGTGACCCACTAAGAATTGAAAATGAGGTCAGGTGTGGTGGCTCACGCCCGTAATCCCAACACTTTGAGGGGGCCGAGGCAGGAGAACTGCTTGAGCTCAGGAATTTGAGACCAGTATAGGCAACATGGTGAAACCCTGTCTCTACAAAAAATATATATACATACCAAAATTAGCCTGGCGTGGTGGTGCATGCCTGAAGTTCCAGCTACTTAGGAGGCTCAAGTAGGCCTGGGAAGTAGAGGCTGCAATGAGCTATGATTACACCACTCCAGCCTGAGCGACAGAGCAAGACCCTGCCTAAACACTTAAAAAAGTTAGGAATAATTTTTAAAATACTGGGAAGAAGAGCTAGATTCTGTGCCGCTGGATTTGGGGGCAGCACTGGCAAAGCAGCAGCACCCCCAGGATCAAGCAGCCAGCAAGCCAGCGGTGCTCCTAGTTGGGAAAGTCCCAGGCCTGTCCAAAAATGCCACTTCCACTGGTTCCATCAGGTGAAGACCCCACACAACCTGCTGGCCTCCCGTGTCCCCAGATGAATGAAGGGAAGCACAGACCAAGAAAGCAGGCTCATTGAAGATTACTTTGAACGGCAGGAGAGACGGCAGCAACGTCTCCCAGAAAATGCCATGAGCCCAGCTGTTACAAGTGACTACACACAAGAGTATGCCACTCAGAACACAAAATAAAGAGAAAATAAATTTTAAAATAAATTTAAAAGTTCACCTGTGAAATGATGGGAATTTAAAAAAAAAAAATATAGTAGTCCAATAGTAGTGACAACCAGTGCCCCAAGAAGGCAGGCATCAGCTATAGGGGGGATGAAAGAACTGGACTCCCAAAAACAGGCCAGACATGGTGGCTCACACCTGTAATCCCAGCTGTTTGGGAGGCTGAGGCAGGAGAATCACTTGAACCCAGGAGGTGGAGGTTGCAGTGAGCCAAGATTGTGCCATTATACTCCAGCCTGGGCAACAAGAGAGAAACTCTGTCTCAAAAGCAAACAAAAACTGGACTGCTAAAGTTCCCAAGTTTCAACTTGATAATCTACAATTTTTTTTTTTTTTTTCCGAGACAGAGTCTCGCTCTGTCACCCAGGCTGGAGTGCAGTGACATGATCTTAGTTCACTGCAAACTCTGCCTCCTGTGTTCAAGCAATTCTCCTGCCTCAACCTCCCAAGTAGCTGGGATTACAGGTGCCCACTACCATACCCGGCTAATTTTTGTATTTTTAGTAAAGACAGGGTTTCATCACGTTGGCCAGGCTGGTCTCAAACTCCTGACCTTGTGATGCATCCACCTCAGCCTCCCAAAGTGCCACATCTGGCTAATTTTCGTATTTTTAGTAGAGACAGGGTTTCACCATGTTGGTCAGGGTGGTCTTGAACTCCTGACCTCATGATCTCCCCACCTTGGCCTCCCAAAGTGCCGGGATTACAGGCGTAAGCCACTGTGCCTGGTCTTATTTTCTTTTTAAAGTAGACATATTCTGAATACAGGTTTCATTATGGGGGTCAGGAGGACAAATGTTTACTTTCACATTTTCTCTGTAAGTAAAAGGGCTGATATATTTTGAATAAAGAGTGGTTTAAAAAAAAAAAACAGCTGTGGGGGTGGGGGGCAGTTGCAGTGACTCATGCTTGTAATCCCAGCACTTTGGCAGGCCGAGGCAAGCAGATCACCTGAGGTCAGGAGTTCAAGACCAGCCTGGCCAACATGGTGAAACCCCATCTCTACTAAAAATATACAAATTAGCCAGGTGTGGTGGTGCATGCCTGTAATCCCAGCTACTCAGGAGGCTGAGACAGAAGAATTGCTTGAACCCAGGAGGTGGAAGCTGCAGCGAGCCGAGATTGCGCCACTGCACTGCAGCCTGGGCAACAGACTGAGACTCTGTAACTAACACACACACACACACACACACACACACACACACACACACACACACGAGATTCTGGCTCTTTAGGAACTCCTGGCTCAAAACACTACCATGGGGATCCCCAAGCCCAAATCCTGTACTAAGCTAGTGTAGCAGCATCCCCTGGAGAGCACCTGTGGGAATCTCATCAATAGGCTCAGGGTGGGCCTAGGAAATAAACATTTTTAAAAAGATTCCCAGAGCAAAAAATTAATAATAATTCACAAAACAAGAAATTTAAATGGCCCTTAAACATATTTTTAAAAAATAGGGCCAGGTGCAATGGCTGATGCCTGTAATGCCACCACTTTGGGAGGCCAAAGCAGAGGAGTGTTTGAGGTCAGGAGTTTGAGACCAGCCTGGGCAACACAGCAAGACCCTGTCTCTACAAAAATTTTAAAAATTACCAAACATAGTGGCACATGCCTGTGGTCCCAGCCACTCAGGAGGTTGAGATGAGAATACACTTGAGCCTAGGAGTTCAAGGCTGCAGTAAGTCATGATTGTGCAACTGCACTCCAGCCTGGGTGACAAAGTGACATCTTGCCTCAAAAGAAAGGGGAGAGGGAAGAAAATGGTCGAACAGAACCCTCAGTGGTTATCCCCCAACAGAAACACCAAATTCAATACTATTCACATAAGAAAGCACCTTCCAAAAAACCAAAAAGCACATAAGCAATCACAGTACTTGGTCGTAACATCATATGAAGGAAAGCAGCACTGAAGAGGGTAGGAAAGAGTCTTGAATTGCAGATACCAACCCTCCTCCATCCCCCAGCAACAGCCACATGGCACCAGAGAATGTGTACTCCTCAGGGAGGAAGAGTACAGTGATTGTGGGACTTTGCATCGGAACTCAATGCTGCCCTGTCACAGCAGAAACAACACCAGGCATAACCTAGCTGGCACCTACCCACAGAG